GTAAAATTGAGATTTTAACCTTTAAAAAAGATCTCCATTTTATTTTAAAATATACTGTTTCATACAGAAAAACTTTTTTTTTCTTTTTCTTTTTCTTTTTCTTTTTGGTCTTTTTGAGACAGGGTCTTTCTGTAGTTCCTGGCCTGGCCTGGAACTCACTATGCTCATTATGTAGAACAGGGTGGCCTTGAACTCACAGACCTGCCTGCCTCGGCCTCCAGAGTTCTGGGATTAAAGGCATGCACCACCATGCCTGGCTGAGAGTCAAAATTCTATCTTTAGGAGCGCTTTACCCTTTTAGATTATATTTTTCATTAATAAAAGAAAAAATTTAAAGAAATTCTCCTAGTTAACGTCAGCTGTCTGCTTGACAGACCCAAAGTTATCTGAGGAAGTCTCAGTTGGGTGATCACCACAAGATTGACCTGTGAGCTTGTCTGTGGGTCATTTTATTAACTGGTAATTGATGTAGGAGGGCCAGCCCACTGTGGGCAATACCAGCCCTAGGCAGGTGGTCCTGGGTTATATAGGAACCTAGCTGGGCAGAAGCTAGTAAGCAAGCCAGTAAGCCACATTCCTCCATGGTTTCTGCTTCAGTAAGCTGAAATAAACCCTTTCTTCTCCAACTTGCTTTTGGTCAGAGTGGTTTATCACAGCAACAGAGGTCAAACTAGAACAGGAGCCCTGTGATGAGACATTTTCATCTGTATGACTCTCTTTGGATCAGAGCTATGGTTGGTTGGGTGCCACCACATTGTTTAGCGGTTTGACCCAACGGCTCCCATTTTCTATTGGACTATAACCACTCCTTCTATTTCTGTCCCCAGGTTACCTTTGACAACAAAGCTCACAGTGGAAAAATCAAAATCTATTTTAACAGTGATGCGGACATTGAAGAGTGTAAAGCTATGAACATATCTGGGTCTAGTAAGTGGTCCACTTTGCCTTTGTGGGTTAGGGGACGATATGGGGCTTTGGAGAACTTAAGTGGTTGATATGGATGTAATGGAAAGAAAGATTTCAGAAACACGAATTTGAACACTAGTCATGACAGCTTTGTGCTTTTGTCTAAGCCAGCAAGCATTTATCACACATCTCCTAGGGAGGTAGGGTGATTTGGTGATGAAGAACTCAGGTTGTGGGGCTACATGGTGGGCTTGGAGTCTGGTTCTTTGTACATGTCTGTGGTCTTAGACCTACTTCTTAACCTCTGTCTTAGAATATTTCTCTACAAAGCAAGGATAATGATAGTATTTACCTTGGAGGGTGCTGGCTATTAAATGTTAGTGTATAAAACAAAGTACTGTGAACTGAAGTTGTCATGCTTGCTGGCCTCTATGAGGAGAAGAAGCCGCAGGAAAAGAGACCAATGTGATCGCATCTCTTGTGTGCTCTGGGTGAGCATGGATAGAGGGCTGGGGAAGGTCTGGGAGAGAAGAGAGTGAAGGAGACATTTAGCTGGAAGTGTGGAGGCCTAGAAATAATTCTTGGACAATGGAGCCAAGGCCTCAGAGCAAATGTGTGGTAGAACAAACGTGGGATTGATTCCTCAGTCACCCCATAATCTACGTGGCCTTGCAGAGCTGGGCGTGGAGGGGCAAATTGTAATTTCTGGAGGCTGAGGCAGGAGGGTCGTGGGTTGAAGGCTAGCCTAGGCTACACAGGGGTTCTTGTTTAGAAAAAAGGGGGTGTGGGGGATAAAAAGGAAAAAGAAAAGAAGTCTGGGGTGTGTGGATCCTAATCTGACATTTTTCAGTACTTAAGGTGATGTCCCCGATGGAGGCTCAGCATTTTGAACTGGCAAGCTTTGTTTAAATGAGCTTCCTCTGACCAGGTGATCTGAGATAAAATATGAGCTACCTGTGTTTTCTATTTTAGATTTTAGGTTTGTTACTTGACAGTTGTATGACAACCTGATGATTTTGAGATTTTGTTTCTGTTTTCTAGTTTGGGTTTTGGTAGTTCCTCTGATGGGAATACACAGTGTGGATTTCTGATAAAAAGTGGTTTCTATCTCTAGCAGACAGTTTCCCTCACAGACAAATCAGACATCTATTCTCCAAATCCAAGAAAGGCTGCAGCTATTTTCTATGAAAAGAAGTAAACTTTGTCCTATATAAAGTGTGATTTGCAGTAGTCACCGTGAAGATCAAATTGAGGCATGGTGCTGGTGGGTCACAGGGGCCCCCAGAACAGTGAGTGGGTCCTCTTACAACACTGGGGCTTTTCTCTGCCTGTGTTCAGAAAGGAGGACCTCTAGCTCCCTCCTGTGGCCAAGAGGAAGAGGTACATGCCTCACAGACCACCACTGCCCACCACGGGGCGCGGGGGAAACGGACCCTCTAAAATGTGCTATTCTTATACTGGTGTCTTAAAGCCTTAAAAAGCCAAGGTTTTGAAACCCATTTGGGAGATAAATTAACCCCTTCTTGCCTGTTGAGCTGGCCCTGGCTCCTGCCGGGAGTGGGACGAGGGCAGAGGCGCCATCTGGTGGGCACCCAATGCAGTCTGCCGAGCATTCCTCCTTTCCTTCCTGTCCACTGCTCTCCTTCCTGTTATCCATGTTTACCCACATCCACTCAAAGCAAAATCCAAGGGAACGTCCCTTTTGGCAGGCAAACGTCATGTGGTCTTTCATGGTTACAGATGAGCATCTCCACATCTGCTGTTGCTCTCCACTCTTTCTGATTTTTATAAACAGCCCTGTGGGGATGAGAGACTTGGGAAGAAAAGGGCCGACAGGCTTCCCTACCGATGGGGATGTGGTGGTCTGAATTGATCGCAGGAAGAGAGTTAATGAGTGTAGGTGGCCCTGGGTCAGAATCCCACAGGCAGTGTTGTCAGGTGTCTGTGAACCTCAGGTCTTTGGAAGAGTGGAGTTGGGTATGGGATTTTCCTAGTCAGGGTAGCAGAAGGTCTTTCTGAAACTGTGGTTTCCAAACTCAGGTTTGGGAGATATTCTTATGGGGCGCAATAGCTTCAGTAAGGTAAGAGACTAATGACTGTTGGCTGTGGTAGCTCTCACCTATAATGTCAACATTTAGGAAGCTGAGACAGGAGAGTTGCTGCCAGTTAAGGCAAACCGGGGTTATATAGTAAGTTGCAGGCAAACCTGGGCTGCAGAGTAAGATCCTGTCTTAAACAAAATCAATTACTATGTTTATAAAATTCTTATAATAAAGCACACCTAACTAGTCTTTTAAATAATTCAAGAAAATGCAGAGTTCAATAATGGATTCTTTGTAATGAGCGGTAGTTTATCTTTCTAGGACTTTGTTTTCATATGTATAAATAAATCTGCTACAAGTAAGCTAAATTTCTGTTCTTTGTATAGGTCAGAAAGGAATATGCCAGATGCTAGCCTTGTGTCCCATCTTCCCAGAACTAGCCCTGCTTCCCCTGCCCCATCCATAGCGCCAAGGAAGTTCTTGTGTGTAGTAGAATCAAGTTGTTCTGGTCTCTACCCATTGGATGATAAGCCAAGACAACTTGGATTGCTTGAGTATAAGTGACCGAAGTCAGTGTGGATGGTTGGCTCCTGGCACCACTGCAGAAGCACTTTCATGGATGGTTTCAGCTGGTCCTTGGACTGTCCAGGGAAGTAGGGCAATTGGTTGTACTCTAATCTCATAGAGGAGGTATGTGACACTTGGCCTGGCCCCATCATTTGCTCAAGGAAGAACATTTACTAGCCACCTGAACCCATCCCTCAGATACTAGTCCAGTGCCGCTCACACCATTTGCTTTGTTTGACCTTGAGGTCAAACTTCCTTGAAGATGCTTGGGTGCTTCTCTGGTGTCTCTGCTGTGGTGTCACAGTGGAGCATTCCAACCTAGACACATCTGAGAAGGCCACAGGACTCCGTGTCCTCCCCTGGCCTTGCTTGTCCAGCTGGTTTCTGAGGTCATCTCCTTCTCTACTTCTCCAAAATCACTGCACTCCCCCCCCCAGTCCTTCCTGGTCTGCTGATTCTCTCTGTGTCTGGCCACACATCCCGACAGCTGCCACAATGTCCAGATCAAACTCACTTTGCTCACAACAGAAAACCAGGGTCATCCTTGCGTCCTTACCGGCTGGGTCCAGTTGCGAGCAGCTGGTGCCTCCCGCTCCTTTCTCTTGTGCTTCGTGCTTTCTTCTCCCTCTGCTTCTGGATTGGCTCCTTCAGACTGTGCAGTGGTCTTTGTGAGTTTGACCTGAAGCCCTTCTCTTTTTTTGTGAGCAGGATGAAGTCTTATGTTAAGAAGAGACTCTGTGTTTTAACACTTCCCAGGGGCCTTGCCTCACAGAGTCAGTCACTGAGTGGGAAGGTGGTCTTAAATGGTAAAATAGTAAGCTCTATGACTGTTTACTGCTATTGTTTTCCTAGAGCTGTTCCACAGATGAACTTGCATAATCCATACCACGGCCCTGCAATGTGGGCTTTATTATTATTCCACCCACTTTTCCAATGGGGAAACTGAGGCTCAGAGTTTAAAAAACTTCCCTAAGACTCCAAAGATGCTGAGTCCAAAGCTTATTCAGAGTCAAGATTTTGGGATCCAGAGACCATGTCCTGTCCTTGTTTTTATCCTGGGTTCCATGCTATGGCAACCTTGAGGATGTAGCTATGAGCCCAGTCTATTGTACAAAGAAGAGTCAAAGGCATATGGGTGTGTGGTATGGGGGGCCAGTAGAGGTGAGAACTTATAGAGCTTTGTTCTGAGATGACATTTAAAATCTGGAGTCTAGAGGTGGGGAGATGGCTCAGTGGGTACAGTGCTTGCTGCACAAGTGAAAGCACAAGGTTGGGTCCCCAGCACCCACATAGAAGCTGGGCAAGGCAGCATGCGCCTGTAATTCCAGCACTAGGAGGCAGGGACAGGTGGCTCCCAGGGGCTCCCTGGCTGGCCAGTCTATCCAAAACAAGAAGTTCCAGGACCCTGTCTCAACGAAACGAGGTGAGGAGTAATAAAGGAAGACACCTGAAGTCATCCTCTGGTCTCCACATGTACACACACAGGCATGTGCACCTGTACATATTAGTGCACACATGCACATATAAGATATACACGAAGTAAAAAGAAAAGGGCACCTGGGAAATGGCATCTGCTGGGAAAACGCAGCCATTACAATTAGGAACTCCCAGCAGCTGCGGATGCCTGCACTGGCTCTGCACAGGAATGGGTCAGTCAGCAGTCAGGCACGGATGGAGGAGAGGGACTCGGGACTGCACTCCTCACTGCTGAACTATGGGGAATCGCTGTATTCAGTCATGTACCCATTGATGATCCCATCAGGCCCCAATAGTAGGATTCCAATTCAGTTGTCATACACATGGTTCTGGTTAAACTAAATGGGTTATAAACCAAAGTCATGGCTCTGGGAAAGAGACTGGTAGGGATGGGGGCTGTTGAGAGGGATGGGAGGGAGATGAGAGAATGAGGGGATAATCAGAATGCATAAGATATGTGTATGAATGTCAAATAGCAAAATTAATCAATAAAAATGGAACCTGACCCTGAAAACAAGCAAGCAGATGTGTGTATAGATGCGTATGTGTGTGTGTCTGTATGTGTGCATGTGGGTATGTGTGTGCATAATGGCATATGCATATATGTGTGCATGTTTGTGTGTGCATGGATGTATGTGTGTGCTTGTGTGTGTTTGTGCATGTGTGCGCACACATGTCTGCATTTGTAGGTATATCTTTGCATGCTTGTGCATGTGTGCATGCATGTGCATATGTACATATGTGCGCGAACACATGTCTATTTGTATGTATGTGTATGTTGCATGTTTGTGTGTATGCATGTGTGTATATGTGTGTATGTATGTGTGCAGTTGTACATCTGTGTGTGCATATGTGTATGTGTGTACATGCACACGTACACACACACATGTACATGTTCAAATGTATATGTGTATGTGTGTGCATATGTATGTATGCATGTGTGTGTGAACAAGTGTGTGTGAGGGCCTGCTATTCTAGGCATGCGCATGTGTGCACTTGTTCTAGGCATAAACTTGTAAAGAGTCTCCAAGGTGACTGTGAGAAGGAAGACCAGTGCAGTCACAGGGTAGGAGGGTGAGAGCCAGGCGGGAGAATGGTGCTTGGAATGTGTGGTGTCACCATGAAGTCAGATGGAAGTTAAACATCTAGTTGGTCTCCCTCTGGCGCATGCCCTGCTACTGTGTATTGCGAGGTAAAGTCCAATCACTGCTCTCTTCCTTACTTCATTCCCAGAAGTTATTTTCTCTGTGGGTAGGAAAAGCATATCAAACTGGCCCTGCTGGGGAAGTGCGTGGTGAAGCTGGGAAGCAGAAATGAACTTTTGAGCGTGGCATTTTAATTAGTTCCCTTATTAATTAAGGCAAACTCACTGTCTTTGTGAAACAACTCAGACTATTAGTGGTTTTGCTTCTTCTGAATGGAGCCCAAATGGATCACATTCTGCTGAATTCTGTTCCACAGTAAATATTTATGAGGAAATTGTAGTGCACTGATTCACAGTTCCTACACTTTCCAATGCATCATTCTTCCCCTCGGGGTGTGTTACCTTGTTTGTAGCCTTCCAAATGAATACAGCATGATTTTGTTTTAACAATAGACAAAGTGTTTTTCATTTGAGCTTCTCTGCAGACTGCTGTTTGCTGGGAAACTACTCTGTGATCTGTGCGAGACATGCTTAACAATGGCATTTCTCCTTGTTCTTCAGTTCAGAAAAGCACTCAGTACGTCCTGGTGTTTGATGCTTTTGTCATTGTGATTTGCCTGGCATCCCTTATCCTGTGCTCGAGATCTGTTGTTCTTGCTCTAAGGCTGAGAAAGGTAGGTGTGGCTGTCCCTCTTCTCCCTCTTGGCCTATAGCTAGGGTTCGGTCAAGCAGGGGACTACGATAATTGAGCTATGACTACCTGTTTTGGAGCTGTTTGGCTCAGTTCATTTCCTTTGAGTGATAGCTCCCTGAGAGACACCAACCATCCTCAAGTACAGGAAGTAAGAAGAGGCTCTAGGGCCAGTGCGATGGGTCCCTTGGTAAAGTGCTTGCCATGCAAACATGAAGATCTGAGTTTGATCCCAGGCACCCACAACAAAAAAGCCAGACACAGTGGCATGTGCCTGTAATCTCAATGCTGGGGAGACTGAGTCGGGAAGATCACTGGGGCTTGCTGGCTGGCCAGTCTAGCCTATTGGTGAGCTCCAGGTTCAGTGAGAGACCCTGTCTCAAAACACAAGGTGGAGATCAACTGAGGAAGACACCTGACATCAGCCTTTGGCCTCCACATGTACATGTACACACATACACATGAATGTACACACACTTGCACATACACATCAAAATAATAAAGAGGCTCTCGTGATTTCAGGTGGGGTCTGATAATTATTCTGCTTAAAACAGAGCTAAAAGTACAGGTACACTGTGGTAAGCTCTCAAGCTTTTAGAAGTTTCCAGAAAAAATAATTTTAGTTCAGGAATGAACTTAAGACCAGAGTAAAGCATGTGTGGGTTCCATCTTTTGTCTTCAAGTCGGAGTTCATTTTGACAAGGAGGCATGATAAATGGATTATAATGAAGAGCAAAATACTTTCATTCTATTTCTTAAATAATCTCATTTTACCTTTTTACCCCTCTAAGTATATGTTCTTAGGAATATAAACCCCAGCTCCCTACAAGTCTTATTCTGTCTTATGACATGAGTGTAAGTTCCCACTGGGGTCAAGGGAAACAGGAAGTCATTGGAATACCATGTGAGAGAGCAGGGAAATATCCTATGTTCTGTCTTCCTTGACCTTGGCATTCACTTTGTAAATACCTACTTCGTACCTACTCTCCAACCCTCTAGATAGCCTGCATCCAAGGTCGAGGTCTTGTCTCTGCAGGGGGCAGGGTTGAGAGGACCCACTCTGGGGCTAGTCTGCCTGGACTCAGGTCCTGGTCTCTCCATGCCTCAGTTTCTACATCTGGACCACAAGGGAACTGTTACCTAGCTCATGGGATTGCCATCCCTGTGCATGAGCTGATAATGTGCAAAGTATTGGAACACACTGTGGGCTGGCTCTGTTGAAGAGAAAGCATATGCATTTAGTGTTTGGGTTAATTTAGCAGGTGCTCAAATGCTTGCTTATGCTGGAGTATGTCGTGTGGGATAGTGTGTGCCCTCCTGTCCCTGCCATGAGGTGGATCTGCCATCTTGGAACAAGTGATACCACATCATATAGGACAGAGCCCTGTTCTCCCTTTCCCTTTCCAGAAGGGCGTGTGATTTAAGAAATGCTTTTTAAATGTTACTGTAGAGATTTCTAAACGTCTTCTTGGAGAAGTACAAGCGACATGTGTGTGATGCTGACCAGTGGGAGTTTATCAACGGATGGTACGTCCTTGTGATTATCAGTGACCTCATGACAATAATTGGCTCCATATTAAAAATGGAAATCAAAGCCAAGGTAAGGGAAACTTCATTTGGAATCTTTTTTTCTTTTTTTTCCTGGATGACCTCAGGAAACCTGGATGACCACACCTCCTAGAGTGTGGTTTGAGTCTCATGTTCTCTTCTCTCACCTATGAAACAAGGCTGCCTTTCACTCTATTCCTCAGGAAGAAAAATAAGGAAGTTTGCTGGTACCCTGTGGACAGTTGCATCCCAGGGCTTCCTCTAAGAAATGTGGCAGCGTCTTTAGTAACTGAACTTTGAGAAGGTTGAGGGTTTGGGCTTTTAAAAAAATCAATTCACCAACTAATTATCTATTCATTTTTATAAGTTGCAAAAGGAGCTGTGGACATAGAAGCCAGTTACTTTTCCTGAACGTTCCTGAAAAGGCCAGTGTGGGAATTTGTGAGGCTGTGAGGCCTGACAGATGAGGGCTCAGGAGCACTTGAGTCTCAACAAACCTGGCACACTGTGTAAATTAATTGGTCTTCTCTCATAACCAGGTTGTGACTCTTCCAGTCAGTGATCCTCCCCCTGTGCTGTCAGTGATCCGGCTCACCAAGCCGACCCCTCTGTTGCAGTGCTTCCGCCTTCTCCCTCCCAGCTACCTCTGGCTTCCTCCTGGCTGGCTTCCTGTCTGGCTGGACTGCCTTAGCAGCCTTCCTGTTGGTGTTTCTGTCTAGCCTTATGCTCCACTGATTCACTCGTACAGCTGCTGGGTGGCTTTCCTGCACATATCCATCTTGCTGGTGCAATCCTTTTACCTCCTGGGACCTACTTAGGATGAAATGGCCTCCCCTCAGCATGGCCTCCAGGGTCCCCCTCATTGGGCCCTGGCTCCCTTCCTGGCTCTGATGCTGCCCTTCCAGTGCTGGTTCTCAGCCCTGGACGTCTGTCTAGCCTCTGTCCATGTGCCTGCGGAGTTCTTTCCAGCCTATGCTGTGGGGGCAAGTCAACTCTGGGTCATACCCAAGGGAGGTCCTCTGTGACAAGTGAGTCAGTGTCTCTCTCACTGCACTTAGCACATTATATTAGAATTGAGTTTGTGGTTTGTGTCCCCCAAAAGGCCTAGAATTTCTTGAGAGCAGAAGCAGTATCAGTCACATTGGAATGCTTTAACGACTGGCAGAATTGTGTTGTTTGATATTTAATGAACACCATCAGTGCCTATATTATTTGAGAGAAATCAGTTCACAATTAAAATACTAACAGGAAACAAACATTTT